GGCAGTAGTTTGTGAATTCCATTCATTGTAATGATATCATAATTACAGGACCAAAAATGCTTAATTTACTTGCCATTCCCCAACTCATGTTATTTGTGCCCCCCCTTAACATAGCATTTTATTATTTTTAAAAATATATTTTTATTGATCTCAGAGAGAGAGAAACATCAATGATGAGAATCATTGATTGGCTGCCTCCTGCATGCCCCCTACTGGGGATCAAGCCTGCAACAGGGCTTGTGCCCTGACCAGGAATTGAACTGTGACCTCCTGGTTCAAAGGTCAATGCTCAAACACTGAGTCACGCTGGTCAGGCTTACCATAGCATTTTAATATTTTGAGCAATAAAAGAATATTTCGTTAGAAATAAAAATCTAATCAATCATCTCCAGTATTTGGTTTTCCTATACTGTCTTAATAAATGTTTAAATCCAAACAAGTCTTCTTTTCACTGGAAAAATACTAATAGAAATATACTTCCTAAAAGAATTAATAAAGATTAGGGGGAAAAAATAAAAAAATAAAGATTAGGGAACTAACACTTAATCTAACAGAAAGGAGTTCATATTTGTTAATGAACTATATTTTTAAATAGCCTATTTAAATTTTTAAAAAATGTGCAGGGAATTTTATTTGGATGAAGATATAAATAAAACATCCATTCACTCTTGGCTTGAAAGGTTGCTAATGCACAGGAGCTTTGTAAGGCTTAATTTAACAAGGGCTTGAAAATTCTTACTTCAGAATGAACCTTTGATGTTTGTTTACAGCAGTGTTTTGTTGTTTTTGTTACCTCCCTCTCCCCCATTTTAAGATTTGAAACTGAGAATTATAGTTTTCTATAATGACAGGTATTGGGGGAAAGTAAATTCCAGAGGTCAATGGTCAATTTTTTTCTAGTTGGCAGACCCTTCTGCTCTTTTAGGAGTTGGTATTAACAGAGGGCAGTGGGAATGCCAGCAAGTAAGGAACTTAATGCCATACAATCTTCAATTCCTATGGGAGAGCCTTGGGGTTTCATGTTGTTAATTTTTTTCAAGCCATACAACATTTGATCTCAGAGCAAATGGTAGCACATAAATTCATTTCTGAGCAGTAAAAGTATTTACTGGTGACAATTCCATCATTACCATCCTATACATTTCATTGAAAGCTCTTGAAATATATACTGAGAAAATGAAAGAGGCACTAAATGTGTTGAAATTCACCTTTCAAAAAAGCAGCATGACGGTGAAGGAAGGCCACCTTGGCTAATAACCTGTGGCAGTGCTTCAAAAAGATGTGAAATTAAATAAAGACACAACAGGTTGATAATCACCAAGTTATATATGAAAGTCTGGTTACTCCAACCTTTTTTCAAGTGTGTTAAAAAAAAAAAAATCAAACTGCCTGTCAGACCCCTGAGTGTAATCCCAAAGAAGACAACGATGCTTTTAGCTCTGTTCTGAACAGATATAAATGCACAAATTACCAACATCATCTTAAAACAAAACAACACAAAAAGATGTAAACATCTATAAAGTTTAAGGTAAAAGCAGTTTTGTAAACAGTAACTGCAGATGACAATGTTATTGTAAAATCACAGTTTATCAAAGTCCTTCAAACCTATCAGGAGGTGCTGGGTC